AAGCAGTGGTATCAACGCAGAGTACTCTCGTTTTACGCTCTTGGAAGCTCGCCGATGGATTTTGGTCAAAATGTTGATGCTCTTGAATTGTGAGGAAACTTCGCTTATAGAGGTTTTCGAACATGCTCTTTACGAAAATCGTGGTCTCTGAGGATTACAGTGTCTTTTTGGAGAGATACGGTGAGGTAACTGTAACTGCACCACGAAAGTGCGTAACTTTGCCCGCACTTCTCGCGTATCTCTCAGAAATCTTGCTTGCTTGCATTTCTAAGTCAAAGTGACTAGGAACTGAGCTATCGAATGGTGCATGAATCCGGCTCCAGTCTATAAAATTCGCCGAGTTACAAGCCTACGAAAACACATCCTCATGAAATTTGCACAAAATGTAAAGATCGCGTACTTTGTTGAATTCCACCGTGAGTGGTTGTATAAAACGGCGGGCGGGGGTGAACATAACATTTGCAATTAGTCGTGCAACCACTCACGGTGGAATTCAACAAAGTACGCGATCTTTACATTTTGTGCAAATTTCATGAGGATGTGTTTCGTAGGCTTGTAACTCGGCGAATTTTATAGACTGGAGCCGGATTCATGCACCATTCGATAGCTCAGTTCCTAGTCACTTTGACTTAGAAATGCAAGCAAGCAAGATTTCTGAGAGATACGCGAGAAGTGCGGGCAAAGTTACGCACTTTCGTGGTGCAGTTACAGTTACCTCACCGTATCTCTCCAAAAAGACACTGTAATCCTCAGAGACCACGATTTTCGTAACATGTTCGAAAACCTCTATAAGCGAAGTTTCCTCACAATTCAAGAGCATCAACATTTTGACCAAAATCCATCGGCGAGCTTCCAAGAGCGTAAAACGAGTAAAAATGAAATAACCCGAAAATCTCGGAAAACTTGCTCATAGTGGTTATCCGACCTGCTGATTACGATAATCACATCTGCTTAGCAAGAGAGCATCATATTCTATGGCTATGGCGAGTAGAATTTGGGACGACAAGATTTTTCCACAATTCACCAGCCCATCTTTTTTCTTTGAAAAGAAAATTGCGGTTACTGTTTAGCGCATCATAATCTACAGAAAAAGTACTATCAAAAGGTCCCTGCTGGAATCTACTCGGGACAATGCTCGCTGCTTTACACCTTCGAGAAGAAACGTCCGCAGAAAGATTCAAGAATACTGAAATCGAGATATCAAGGACATACTGTATACCAAAAGATTCGCCTTGATGAGCTGAGCACAGCACCGTTTTCGGATTCAGAATATACTTTTTCTGGAGGAAGTTATGGCGAGTAAAATTTAAAGGCGCGCGATTTTTGCAGAATTCACCATCTCTTTTCGCGCTTTATAAAGCATGTCTCCGTCTACTTTTCACAGCTGGATTATCTACGGAAACAACTCTTTCCGATTCGCCTTACCGGAATCTTTTAAGTGTGAAAGGGGGTGGCCCACAGCGTTGCAAAGAGGCGTCTGCAGAAAAAAGTGAAGTTTTGCTGGAAGCAGAATATCATAGTCATGCGGCGTGTCACTTTGCTCACATAAGCAACAAGACATGCTGATTACAAAGATTATAATCAGGGTTGAGCGTGGGGTTAGGCGCGCCCGACCTGGGGGATCGTATTGAGGGTGAGACTGAGGGGGGGGGGGGCGTCGTAATTAAGAATCGAATCTGTTAAGTTGGGGAGATACTGCAAGGTGAAGAAGAAATGCGATAGTCCGGTGGATATCGCGATCACATGAAGGAATGACGGTCATAAACAGCATACTGATTGTTTCCACAATGGAATTTTTAGCCACAATTCAAATCTTCACCTCTTTTACCTTGACATATGAGGTCGACAAGGAGGCTTGCTGTGTGAAATGGGTATCATTTCCATAATCAACATGTCAAATTACCTCTATGCGCTCTACAAACCATTACCTACTGCAGTTTCTAGTGTTTCTCAACGTCTGAAAAGCGTGATTTTCAAGCGTGATCAACTTGGTTGCAGAAGTGAGAATAGTCAGCCTTGTATACTCATAACAAAGTAATGTTCTCTACAAGTCTATGCTACAAATCGGGCTTCATATCGCTTTCAAACAGTGAAGTAAAAAGTGGTGCCAAAATTCTAACCGGCGCCTTTTTCACGTTGAGTGCTCCAACTCCTCGGATTAGCACAAGGCAGAAACAACTCGAATCAAGCTCAAACACTCAATGTGGAATCTTCGAGGGTTGAGCTAGCGAAACACATAAAACTTGGGTAGAAAAGCATTTTCGGAAATAAAGTTTATTGGGGTCAGGCGCAACCCCCCAAAGGGTCAAGCCGTCTGAGCTTTTGAGGGGTTGCGCCTGACCCTTCTAACTTGCGTTCAAAATTCAGAAATCGCTCCTTTTTTGACATGAGTATTGAGCGCAAAGCCTCTTCTTGCTATATTGAAAATTTGGAGCCAAACACTCCACCCCTGTGAAAATTATAGCTTTGAAAAAAGGACTATCCAGATCTAGAACTTACCGTCAAGTTGCGTGTGGTTGTATCGCAGAAAGTCGGGCCTACGGACTTTCAAAAAATAGAAACCTGCATTGAAGGCTGGTCTTCTTCAAAATATAACACCCTGAGGACTTGGAGGTGAAGCGGAGGGTTTTTAGGGGTTTTCACAGGAGGGGGAGGGGGTCGTTTATGAAGGGCTTCTGCCTGACCTCTTGCTCAACCCTGATTATGATTGTTTTGCTAATCATAGTGTTACTGTATAGTCATTTTGTTTGACGGTAAGTGGTTCATATATATATATACTAAGTTCACGTACTCCTTTCTCTTTTTTCCACTACAGAAAAGGATATGGTTTTCTGCTGGAAACACTCAGCAGAAACTCTTCCATCAAACGCTCTTTTTCTTGAACCTTTGCCTACATTATGCGCCGAAATACACACCCTAGAAAACACCACCACAGGATGCAACGGATTCCTACCATGCACTTACCGTGACCGAGCCGATTACAGCAGTTCAATATATGAAAAGATTTGTCTCGGCGAGCTGAATCCAAATCTGCCTTCAAATTTGAAATCCATTGAGAACGAAGGGAGTTATGACGAAAAGACGCAAAGTCGGCGACATCGGCGACATCGGCGAATTCGGCGACATCGGCGAATTCGGCGACATCGGCGAATTTGGCGAATTCGGCGAATTCGCCGAAATTTTTCACATTCCACTGTCACAACTGTATAGCAGAAACCACTGGGCTCGTTGATGAATACGGCCATAGGAGCGCTTTATCCAGAGCTATCAGTAAAAAGGGTAGCTTACTTCTGTAGGTTTTCCAGATGCTTCTTCGCAGATTTGCTTTCGGGTGCATCCGCAGCTTCTTCGTCTGACACTAAAAAAGTTATATAGAAAGTGAAACCCGCGAAAAAGTTAGCAGTCCTTCGTAAATGCTTGTCGGCTTCTACTTACACAGGCTATGCACAAAAACGAGGATGACATCTTTTGAAGGCATGATTCTAGACGGGGGTGGTGCGGGAGGAACCAAAGGGCTGCCGCCTATATCCGCAGGAGATAATTAAGGGCGCGGGCGCTGTGGAGAAAATTTTGGCCAGGATCCAAGAAAACTTGGCAATGACATTCTGTAGGAACAAATCTTCATAACTTTGCCTGGAGATGACTTTTAAGTTGAAAAACAGATTTGTAATGTAAAATTGAAGGCGCTTTTACAGGGCCGAAAATTAAGCGAAAATTCAGAATTATAGTGGTAGGAAAAGTCAACTTCCTTATAGAAACGTTTTTATAAGTTTTGAAGTTTTAAATTGCTGAAAACAGGAATTTTAATTCAAAATTCGTTCTTTTTTCTTTGAGATAAAGGAGTAGTTTGCATTTTGAATCAATGAACTAAAGCAACCAAATGTTGTAAAACACGTCTGGAGGCTTGCGTCAAGATGCAAGATGCAGTTTGTCTCATAACTTCAAACCTATTCTTATTCTAAATTTTGACACTAAAAACTTTATAGGAATTGCCATTAAAACTATGTCAATAATCCTTTCGGGGTTGTACACAATAGCAGAAGTTCATCACATGCAACTTAGTTGACTGTATTTCCTGATTAACACTCCCTACTTTCTCAACTTCAAATCCAGAAATTACTAAAAAATCCACTCAAAATCTTTCACACAACATTGAACTTGAAAGTCAGTTTTAACGGTGAGTTTTGAGGGATCAGGTTTTGGTGAAAATAGAACACCAGTAGCGAAACAGAGTTGTTTATCTATCCGGTAGGCGTATTACTGAAAAATGCGCCTTTCAATACTGATTCCAAATCTGTCTTTCATGTCCTAGAAAGTTGATTCCAAGAAGAGTTATAATGGTTTTTTCTAAGGATGTCCTAAGTTTTTCTGGACCCTTGCCAAAATCTTCTCCACAGCGCTCGCGCTCCTAATTATCTCCTACGGCTACAGGCGGCAGGCCCTTGGTTTCTCCTGCACCGCATCCATTCTAGACCACATACAATTTTATTCAAGACTAGCTGGCTTACCCGGCTCCGCCGTATCCGGACCAAACTTGGCACACATACACTTCGGGCCCCGGCGGGTGTCACAGTCCACTTTTCGTTATCGATCGATGTCGATTTTACCGATTTTTATCGATTTTTTTGCAGAGTTCACCTACAGGGCTAGGAGTTGGCACAGGGGGGAAGTGAGCATGGGGATTCCGAATACAATATTAGTTTTCAGAATTATCGATTGCTTTTATTGATTCTATCGATTTTTTGGCAGAGTTCACCTACAGGGCTAGGAGTTGGCACAGGGGGGAAGTGAGCATGGGGATTCCGAATACAATATTAGTTTTCAGGATCGTCCATTACTTTTATCGATTTTATCGATTTTTTTGCAAAGTTTGACCTGCGGGGCTTGGAGTTTGCACAGAGGGTAATCGAGCATGCAGATTACGAATACAATATTACTTTTCAAGATCGTCCATTACTTTTATCAATTTTATCGATTTTTTGAAAATTTGAGCTAGGGGGCTGGAATTTGGCACAGGGGTGTTCGAGCATGCTGATCACCCCCCTTGGGGATGATCAGCATGCTCGATTACCCCTCTGTGCGAACTCCCAGCCCCGTAGCTCAAACTTTGCAAAAAATCGATAAAATCGATAAAAGTAATCGATAATCCTGAAAACCAATATTGTATTCGGAATCCCCATGCTCGATTACCCCCCTGTGCCAACTCCCAGCCCCGTAGCTCAAACTTTGCAAAAAAATCGATAAAATCGATAAAAGTAATCGATAATCCTGAAAACCAATATTGTATTCGGAATTCCCATGCTCGATTACCCCCCTGTGCCAACTCCCAGCCCCGTAGGTGAACTCAGCAAAAAAATCGATAAAAATCGATAAAATCGATATCGATCGATGACGAAAAGTAGCCTATGACACCCGCCGGGGCCCGTAGTGTATGTGTGCCAAGTTTGGTCCGGATCGGTTCAGAAATGGAATTTTCTATTCGGAACATACGTACACACAGACAGACATACAGACATACAGACAGACAGACAGACAGACAAACAGACATTCAGCTTTATATATAAGATTTATGAAAAATACTGCGATTTTGCCAAAGTTGCGCAAATTCGCATCGCATCGCCGTATCTCAGTTCAAAGTATACAATGAATCCAGAAGCATCTTTCAACTCAGCTCAAAGAGATGCATCTTCTGATATGTAGACTGCCTGTGTCTGGGTACAGTAGGTGTACGATAGGTAGCCAGTTTTCTGCACTTTTACAGACGTTTTCAGATTTCTGCTAACAACGATATACTCAATATGTTGACGACAGTTACATGCATCAGTTGCTGCTATAAACCAGGGCTCGGCCCGAGGTGGCTAGTTGAAAAAGCAAAATACGAAGTCCCCCTTGACTTTTGCGAATTTTTATGAAGTCCCCTTTGACCCTAGACCATAATCCCTAAAAAATCTCCAAAAAACGAAACGTCGACTAAAAAAAAACGTCGCCAATTTCGCGTTCCAGTTCCACAAAAACGAAACCCCCTTTGCTTTTTGTCTCAAAAACGATATCCAGCTTGCTTCTAAGCCACCTGTGCTGAGCCCTGGCTATAAACTGACCAACTACTGCAACCGTACCCAGACGGGCACTTCTAATTATAAGAAGACTAGCTGGCTTACCCGGCTCCGCCGTATCCGGACCAAACTTGGCACACATACACTTCGGGCCCCGGCGGGTGTCACAGTCCACTTTTCGTCATTGATCGATATCGATTTTATCGATTTTTATCGATTTTTTTGCTGAGTTCACCTACGGGGCTGGGAGTTGGCAAAGGGGGGTAATCGAGCATGGGGATTCCGAATACAATATTAGTTTTCAGAATTATCGATTACTTTTATTGATTTTATCGATTTTTTGTAAATTTTGACATGCGAGGCTGGGATTTTGCACAGGGGGGTAATCGAGCATGCTGATTACGAACACAATATTAGTTTTCAGGATCGTCCATTACTTTTATCGATTTTATCAATTTTTTGAAAATTTGAGCTAGGGGGCTGGAATTTGGCACAGGGGTGTAATCGAGCATGCTGATCACCCCCCTTGGGGATGATCAGCATGCTCGATTACCCCCCTGTGCCAACTCCCAGCCCCCTAGCTCAAACTTTGCAAAAAAATCGATAAAATCGATAAAAGTAATCGATAATCCCGAAAACCAATATTGTATTCGGAATCCCCATGCTCGATTACCCCCCTGTGCGAACTCCCAGCCCCGTAGCTCAAACTTTGCAAAAAAATCGATAAAATCGATAAAAGTAATCGATAATCCTGAAAACCAATATTGTATTCGGAATCCCCATGCTCGATTACCCCCCTGTGCCAACTCCCAGCCCCGTAGCTCAAACTTTGCAAAAAAATCGATAAAATCGACAAAAGTAATCGATAATCTGAAAACCAATATTGTATTCGGAATCCCCATGCTCGATTACCCCCCTGTGCGAACTCCCAGCCCCGTAGGTGAACTCAGCAAAAAAATCGATAAAAATCGATAAAATCGATATCGATCAATGACGAAAAGTAGCCTATGACACCCGCCGGGGCGCGTAGCGTATGTGTGCCAAGTTTGGTCCGGATAGGTTCAGGAATGGAATTTTCTATTCGGAACATACGTACAGACATACAGACAGACATACATACAGACAAACAGACATTCAGCTTTATATATAAGATGCGCCTTAGGTTGGATAATGCCCTTGATTCAAGATCCAACCACTCTGAACCAAGACTTGGCGGTTGGGACGCGAATTTCGGCAAAGTCCAGCGAGAATCGGGTATTCTTCAAGTATTAACGGTATTGTAGAATCTCTAAGTGTAAAGATGAGTTAAGATCAAGATTTTTTCTCAATAGAAACTGCTCTCACTAAATATGCATGGATGTATTTGTAACTATAATCAAACCAAAGAAGATCGAATCCGTAACGCATGGTTCAAAAGAGCTAGTCAAGATTATCTAGCCAACAAAACCGTGGTTTCCAAGAAAAAACCCAAAGATCCAGCATCCTTCCCTTCTTGTAGATAATTTATGATAAGATGAGCAGACTTACAATCAGAGTCTCCTTCTTCTTCTTCAAAATTCATGCTCTCTTCCTCCTCCATATCAGCAATCTGAAACGAAAGCGGCCATCTCTGTATGACTAACGTCGCTACTTACCTCGTCTTGTGCTTTCTTCTTTCCTTTCTTTTTCAGCTTCTTCTGTTTTTTGACCTCTTCCCCAGCTGCATTTTCTTCAAAGTCAACCAACTTGTTTACTTTCTTCATCTTCTTTTTTTCTTTCCTTTCTTCCGCATTTTCCAACTTCTTTAGTTTCCTCTCCAAGCCAACTTTATGCTTTAGGTGCGGCTTGCCTTTACCCAGTTTCTTGACGGATACCATTCTGCAATTGGGTCAATAACCAAGCTGCAGTAAGATTTCAGCACACATCGGATATTTGGAAGACCGGAGCTAGAGAAGTGAACAAATGCAATTTTGAAGAAGATGGGCTCCCCGCCCACCCAAAAGAATTCGTCGCGGTATTCAGAATTTTGAATGGGATATGATATTGTGCAAATAACTTATTTTTCACTTTCAGGTATTAAAGCAATTGGATTCCCGAAAGTTCAAATTAGCTCCACAAAAAATTAGTTCTGAGAAGGGGGAGCTACTACCACTCCCCTTTCTCGAAAAAAAAACACCTCCATAAGTCCGCTAAGAAGGTTAGGAAGCATCTCAAACATTTAGAAAGACATAATCTCGTTCGTTTGGAATTATCTTGGTTATCTCGGTTACGCCCTATTCCCCCCCCCCCCCCCCTCCCCCTCTCGTTTCCTCCTCTCTGAAAAATCGCCAATTCACAGGTGTTCCAACAAAGTGCTAGAGAAGTCACGAAGGTACTTCGGGCTTAATTTTATAAGTATTTTGTGAATTTCAGGCATTCTAGAATATACAGTCGTCTCCAAAAACTTTGAAATTGTCACAACAATTCAACGATTGTTCTTTTTCCCATAACGAATCGAGTGTTTCTCAAAGTTCTATTCAAGACCGCTCTCATTTGACGAAATCCTCTCAGGAAAACGAGATTTGCGAAGTTGGCCTATTTTATGAATGAGATTGTCAAAAGACGAGGAGAGAGCGAGCGGATCACAGAGGCGGACGGCGGGAACTGGACGAGCGCCTATAGCCGCCCTAGGAAAAGTGAAATGGCGACGAACACCTTATGAAGAGCGGACGAGATGTTCTTCACTTTAACTTACACTGAGCATCTCTTACTGTCGATATTCCTACACATATGCGGAATTTCTTTCGGACTGTTCTGGTGGAGGCTGTTCCCTAAGAATGTGAGTTTTCCAAATGCTTTTTTATATTTGCTGATTTGGTGCGCTGACAATAAAAAGGTGAAGCACTGTTTCCATCGTTTGAAACCTTTCTACGCTTTTATAATCAACAGCAATTTGAGCTGACTCCTACTTATCAGTACTAGATATCCTAATATTAACATTTCCCAAGGCTTAAAAATATCGTTCCGTCAAAATCTCTTGAATGCAAATGTTTCACCTCGAGGAAATTATTTTTCCATTTCTGTAGTGCAGTAGGAACCAAAAAAAAAGAGATATATTACCTATCTATCGAATACATCCTAATAAATTGCTGATAGCAGGGTAAACTGACGGAACTTTCGAAAAATTCCAGGAAAAATAGTATAAGCCAAGCAAAGGCGTTTAGAGGTGAAAAAAGAAGAATATCAAAGCGAAACCTCCTTTACTGCCCCTAAAATTCTACAGTGGTCCAAACTTCAATTAGGTATATACCCTTTGCGCCCCTGAAAACGTAGAATTTGTGAGATCTCATGTTCAAATTGCACAAAAGATACAAAAGTTCACATTATCTTTCCGACATAAGCAGCGCTTCAACAACTCTTCTCACGCTAACCACATTTTTCACTTTTTCAAGCAGATGGGAATTTCAGAAACGTTATGCAAACAGAGAGCGTTTGAGTCCTTTGAAGTTGAAAATCAGATGAAGATTACCAAAAAATAAACCTTCTCTCCATACTAATGTGTAGACATCGACAACTTGAATCTGGAACTAAACTTATGCAGGAAACTGGGACCTCTCCCTTCAATTTGTAAAAAAGATAGATAGCCTAACTAACTTTCGGATTTATAAATTTCTTCCAATTTATCTAAACTCAAGCAGTTACTGTAGTCAAGTCATCGTTACAAGCAACATTTGAATTTAGCCAAAATCGCTGATTTGATCGTATTTGGACCGCTCAAATCTCCCCGAGATTGAGCACAGTATTTTTAGGGGAAGCACGGTATATCGATGTAACAATTCTTACACTAAGCAGTTTTTTTTCTCCATTGTCACTCTTCACATCCTTGGAAAGTGCAATAAAAATTACGTCACCAATTGAATTAGCAAGCATTCTACGGCTTTTGAGTTTTGATGTTGGCCCATAATCATAAAATACCTCTTAACCCATTTCTGAAAAACCGGCAATTCCCTAGAGAGTTTTATGAAAATCATCATCAAAACTCAAAAACCATAAAAAGGGCTGCATGGTAGGAAAAGAAAGAGAAAGTGTTTTATGAGATTGCACTTACACACGTACAAAAAGCTTGGCAAGACCCAAGAAACTATTTTTGCCTAAGACACCTAAGTTCCGAGACGACTCCTTTGCAACCGCGATCATGTTCTCTCAAAATTGTGCAGTCGACTATTTTGATTCCAAGCATCCAAACCTACGTATCGATGGTGTGAAACTTGTTCCACTTATCCTACTTGTTTGCAGCCTGTTCGATACATCACCAAACTGCCCAATGAGATATCGCTCATGGTCGAAAATGTGAACGAAGAAGCCGAGTATGCTGCGCAGCAGGAGAAATTGCTTATTTATGAGAAAAAAATCAAGCCCCAACGAAATTTCGGATGAATAAATATTGGAAGACAAAAGTCTATGACAGAAGAGAACCGATACGCTATGAGAATTACGCAACAACCACATACACCGGAAATAAGCAAGTTAAGGCTGTGCCCAAAGTTGCCCGTGCCAGCGCCGTTCCAGCGGTAAGATGTCGATCGATCAATACAGGGCGCATTAATGTGAATTGGGCACGGCGCAAACGGGCAATTTTGACGCACTCTACAGCCACCGCTCCAAAAAGACTCTTTTATGTAAACTATCCACAACTTCGAAAATCCTGCCTACTTTTTTTTCTACAAAGCTCTTGGAGGCACGCCCAGCCTAAGTGAGGTTCTTGAGCTTTTGGCAGCATGTGATAGTAGGGCCCCCTATCAAGCGCCAGTGCCCAAGTGGCAGCGCAAAATGTAGCTTCGGAAGCGAATCGTTCCGGAATAGCGAAGATGCACGAGGACTCTAAGACAGCACCGCCCTCCCCATCCATGCCCGCTTATCCGTGCGCGCCCATCCAATCACCGTTCCAAGCCGGCCTGTGGGTTCTCGGAACGCGGATTGTCGGGTTTTCGCGGATTCTAGACTTCATATTCGGAATCAAGGACATAAGAGGCCCTGAAACGACAAAACCTTGGAAGCCGAGAATCTGGGTGGACGGTGCCTTTCACGCTTGCTCTTTATGCGAACGCTAGTCACCCGCCCCTTGTTTTTCTGGTCCCTTTTACTTACGGAAAGCAAGGAAAAATAACCTCGGCGGCAAGCGTCCGAAATCAAAAATAGGGGCTTCCGGAATAGCCCGTTTTCGACAGTTCCGTACTCTGCAACTACATTTTCGAATTTAGCAGGAATGATAAGCCCAGGTAGAAAAAATTTTGTTCGAAATTTTGCCCGGACGCTGCATTTAAGACAGAAACGAAAAAAATGCGGTTGCCGAAGGTGCGTACGCGACGCGTGCGGCTGCGCTCGTCACAATTTTATGAATACTGTATAACTGTTTCGACTGGAGCTGTTGAGCTATCTCATACATCATAAACCAATGAGAAAAAATGAGATTCGAGTTCGTTGAAGAATGCAACTGAGTCATAAGCGATTTTAAGCCTAGCGAGAAATGAGGAAAAGGTTTGTTACCGTTTTGCTACCTATGATTCGCCTCTAGATACGAACGGAACAAAACCCAAACTATTATGTAAGGAGAAAGGAGACTTGATATGTAGAAAAAAATAAGTTACACAAAAGTCTCTCCATAAACTCCATAAACTCCTTGTGGTTTTGCGCGCGCTCACCCCCCCCCCCCTTCCCATCCTCCCACTTCTCTCAGGCGGATTATCAGGTTGTTCCAAAAGTAATGTCTCTTTTCTCGATGAACGCCAGATATCGTAAAACCAAGTTTTTGAGAGATCCTGGAAACATTCGATGCAGCACTTCATCCTCTTTCTGATGACTGTAATTTCATTGCATGACATTCAATGAGCCCTCGAAAAATCACCAATATCTCGACTTCATGCTTTTGGTCATGATTGACTTCGGCTAATTTTTTTTTGAATTTTCGTACTCATTCTCCAAAGAAGTACATAACGAGTAGATGGAGAAAACCCTAAAAGACACAAAACAAGTTTTTTCCTTTCCTTAGCTTGCTTCTTAAAATTTCTACAATCAATTTTTCAGTGCAATCAAATTCCATATTTGGTCAGCTCATACCTCACAAAACAGCAACGGAAAGCAACCCGGGTGTCATTCGACGCAACTTTTTCTCCTCTTTCTATCAGTTGTTTTTGTTTCCAACTCATAGAGTTTTCCGGGATAAAATAATGGTAATTCGGGTTTCCCAAGGCTTCCCAGGATGTACCCGGAAATTCCGAAAGTTGCTAATCTGAAACGGCAAATCACTTGCTTTGTAAACTTAGAGCCAAACCATAATCCACCTCTGTAAGTTTCAAAATCCGAAAATTTATTGGTGTTCGATGCATTTGTGTCTGAGACAAGCCTTTGGTGGATCCAATAAAAAATCTATAAAAAAATTATGGCGAGTTATGGAAAGTGAAAAAAACTGCACTGTTTCTGTAGGGTTTGGTCTATTCATCCATCGTTTTATGAAAAATTAGAAAAATTGTGCAACTTGATCAACCAAAAAGCCTTGGTTGCAGATTTTGGTAATTTTTCAAGAACTCATTGAATGTTATGCAATGATTTGATAACCATTAAAAAGAATATGAAATGCTGCATTTAATGCTACCAAAATCTCTAACAAATCAAGAAACAGTAGTCCATAAAACGACGCAAGCATTCACTTTCAGGCTATGATGATCACCTGAAGAAAAATCTGACCTTTGAAAGAAACTCAAAAATCAAATACTCAGCAAAATATCTGGTTCACAGATGATCTCCAATACGCGAGATGAGAGCGGAAAGATTACTAGGATGTGCAAAACTAGAACTTTTGTTATGGAAAAAATGAAGGAAGTAAAGGATTTATAGAGGCAGAAACCTAACACTACATAAACCAGTCCAACTTTTGGAAAGGAGCGTTTTAATCGCTATTAACACTACTGTAAAAAAACTTCTGTCATATTTATTGCAATGATTCAGTAGCATGGCTACGAAGATTCATATGTTTGACAGCAAAGACTGATAGAAAAAACTCAATAAAATAAATATTTAGAGCGGATCGCAACAACGGTTCAGTCTACCCGATAGCCTCTACAACAGATTCTATATTACGCGAAGTAGAAAGGTAGTAAACATCATAAACACTATAAGATATGGGACTTGATGACACTAAAATAATCAGTGCATCTGGTTCAGTAAATCTCTAAGTATGGGCACGAGTTTGTACGCTCAAAGACACAGTGACTGTAGTAGAAAAACGCAATAATTTATTGAACACCAGCCAGCTGCAATAATTCTTCCATTCCCACGGGTCTCCAAGAAAATGAATGCGTATCCAACACATACACAATATTTCGGTCCAGGTAGATTGATTGTGTTCCAAACCAATAAACCTTCAAAACAAAAAAAAATGTCATCAGAAATACTAGAAAGACTATGACTGCCTTGAAGCATACGCACCTGTCTACCTTCCTTGAAACGATCACGTTGTGGAATATGTGTGAGGTCATGCTGAGCAGCCATTCTCTCGAGGATTTCCTTCAGCGACAGTTGAGGGTTTATAGGTGCACCAAGACCAGACCTAGGAAATGAAAAGCATAATGCAAAAAAAATGAGTTTATAGCAAAGATACCTCATGGCCACTGGAGGAGGGGGAGGAGGCACCGCTTGTGCAAGTGGTGGTGGTGGTGGTCCAGTAGATACTCGCAGCCCTTGTGAAGATTCCATGAGCGCCACCATCCCTCTTCGAAGGTTTTCTAAACGGGAGAGTAATATTTTCCCAAAAAGCCGAGCATAGGAGAGAAAGGACGCAAAATCAAGTTTGTCCCACTTCCAACAAGATAAGCAACAAGTAAACAAATCCACGGCAAAGCAAGTGGTTGAAAATGACAAAACCTCACCCTTGATAGTCGGGTAATCCCGAATTTGTGGTGGAATCCGCTGTTCCCACTCTCTATACCACATCTTCACTTCATTCAAGATCGCTCGAGGAGAATCAAGCCACTGACAGAGAGCAGCATACCACTGAATAAATAGCATCATTGTATAAGACTGCGTTAAGATGCTCGAAAGCTTACTCTAGGGAAGAAATACTTCGTCACGATGCTGGCCATGGTATCCGGTGAGATCATGCCTATCCAGGACATACATGAGTACCATTCTTCGTACTTTTTGTTCTCTCTCGGATTCAAGTTCATTGTGTCGAGACACTTTTCTAGCTGAAATCAGAAGTTAATGCGGTGAGATATTTGATCACTAAGACTAGCAAAAATTATCAAATCTAACCTTTGGCACCACATTCTGCGCTAAGAACGCCGACATCGTTGCTGGCGTCCAAACTCCACACCATGGCTTCAGTATAGCCATAGCACTAAACCCACACATATTTTCTATGACTCATTAAAGGCAAAAGATATCTCAACTTACCTGTGATCCGTAGGGCTCCACAACCTCAATGCCTTGGCCAACTTCTGCCGAATAGGTGCCAAAACGGGCTGTAAACGATCACCAAGGACCGCCAACCAAGGCACGAGCCATGAGTGGATGGGAACGCTGTCCGTAAGTGGATCCCATGATGACACTCTGTCACTGATTCGTGGGATTATCACCTAAACACGAGTTGTAAAGCAAATCATACTTGCTGAATCCAATACCTACCTGTTCTAAAATATTCTCCTTCATCCATTCTGGAAGGACAGGCAACCACATCTCGATAATCCGCAACATCGGCTCCATGCGATCTCGAGGATCCCAGTCCAAAGAGGCACGCCGAAGTGACGGTAGCCATCCTTCCCACAGAAGCCTGTCGTAGGCAGTCAGACGATCTAAGAATTTGTTCAAGTATTTTGAAAGTCAGTTTTCTGAGTATTGGCCAAGCCCGCCTCACCTGTGAACATCGATGTATTTTCGTTATCCACCAAAATATCGCGCCACTCCTTCATCAAATCCACACCGTAGATAAGGTGGTCGGGATCAAGCGGTCGCCATTTTGAAAAGTATTCTGTAATCTGTAAAAGAAATGTGTTGCAAAAAACTGTTTTTATCCTCTCAGAGACAAAGAAAAAATGGCTAAGTGTCAACCTCACCTGTGGAAGGACCAGTGGGACTGCTAGTGCTTCTATGTTGAACATATGATACTCCTCTTTGTATTCTGTCCGCAATTTTGTAAACAAAGCTTGACAGTCGTTGATTGAAGGAGCTTCTCCACCTTTCCGCTTAGCGAAACTGTAAAAAAATATGATTAGCACTGTTCCGTATTGAAGTGCATCAAGATGAATCAAAGTAAAATTCAAGAAAGAGAATGCTACACAGCGACTTACTTCTCAATCAGTTCATACACTTCCTTGATCTTTTCGCTAGCTTTCTCTTCACTTTCAAGCATTTCTTTCGCCTGCTTGAGGTCATAATCCAAAGCCGTTGTTCGGTCCTGAGAATGAAAATGCAAATCATGAGTCTTGAAAAAGCTATTCATCCCTCCAAGCAGAATCTCGCCACTTCTCCTCCTCCTAACTGTCGTCTCAGAAAGAGGGAAAAGGAAGCAATCAATCTTAATCAAGGGGACATACAGTGTCTTTAGAAAATGATCACGACTTTGAGAGTGGTATTGAGGTTGAGCCCTGCTTTGAAATGTCTCGTGCTTCTGAGCAGAGATAAAAAAAGCACAACTTCGCAACCGAACTGACTGTTCAAATTATCCAGTAACACCAAGCACTTGCAGCTTTCTCACATTATTCAGCATAAGAAGAGTCTATGGAAGCGAAATTTTGATTTTGATAAACCTTTTGAGATGAAATCTTTGAAGTCAAGTCTGGTCGTCTCTGATATGACATGAAAAATGATACTTTTATTATTCAAAACTTACCTTGATTGTTTTTAGCTGGTGGTCATTCCTTCGGATGCTCTCCTCTGTCAAATCAACAAGCAAATTCAAATTATGCATCAGCTCAGGCACATCGAAGTTCTCGCGATCACTAATATCGTTGAACGACGGTCTGTAACTTCCTCATTTTTATATGAGCAGCCTAACGAATCATGTGAAGCAGATACCTGCTTTTCATAGAGAAAGAATCATATCCACTATACACTCGTTGTTCTGGACCGGTCATATCAATAACTTTTACTCCGGTCTGCACCGCAGAACGGAATCCGATAGAACCTCCTTCTTCTATGACCTCATCCAGCGTCTTGTAGCGAGTTTTTACCTAAAACTTGTTATGAGATCTGAAGACATTTTTTTCTTTTTGAGGATCATGGCTAAACCTTCGATGCTTTCTTCCAAGCAGTTTTCAACTGTGGGGTTGATGGCTGTTCTTCTATTACTATGCCCGACTCACGTTCGCTGGCTTCTCGACGCTGGGCTTCGGCAGCTGTTTCTGAAATTTTTGCGAGATAGATACGACCTCCACCGAAAAAGTGAATAGCTGACCGCCAAATCTTGGCCCTATGGCTTCCTTGCCGTAAGCTCCTACAGCACCACGTCCTTTACGAACAGTGGCCTGCACAGGTTCAACAATTCCTTGTCCGGAAACGCCGAGACCTTCACCCTCTTTGTAACCCATAGCCTAAAAACTGTTGTTAAAATGGGAAAAATCATTGAAAAGAAGGGCATACACCTGCATCATCTTTCTGACTACATCTCCTTTGCCAAATTTTGTCCAGTCTCCAGCTGCATTGGGATCGACAGCACTTCTGACAGCAGAAGTGCGCATTCCTAAATGTTTTAGTAGAATGGTGAAAACAAAACATAATGTAAGCTATCAAGCTATGGACAATATGATTTTCAAACCGAAGGATAAATCAATGTCCAGTAGGAACATGTTCGCGTATTTCGTTATCAGGTAAATCCGAAATAAATTAGGTAAAATTGAAAAAAAGCGAGCATGAGGCCTACCTGCAAATACATTAGCACCAGCCCTTGCCTGCTTTCGTCGCTCTTTCTTGAAGTTGATCTCGATCGGAGTATCATCTACCTCCTCCATTTTTATCTAAAACAACAACTAGCCAAATGCATATTCACTGACGGAACCAGATCGTTTACCTTCTCTTCTTTTCCAGTTTTCTTCACAGTATCCCCTTGCTTTATACCACCACTAACAAAATTGATAGGCGCCGTGTAATCCTTCCTTGCCTTTTTGCTAAAAATTCAAAGCCGATCAAGGCAGTATTATGAGTGAGAAAGACTCCTCTACTAATATACCATATATTATCAGTAGTTGAAATTAAACGATTACTCACCCAAACGATGGCCTTGCATAAGCATCTTCCTCGTCGCTCTCTTCCTTATCAGCCCAGATACCTAAAGCAAAACCGATTATATCTGCCCAACTAATTAATCCAGGGTGGGGGAACGAAAGCCGCCAGGTCCAGCCGCCTCCGCGGACTGCTGGTCCTGGAACGACATGCAACAACGCTGCGAAAGGACCAGCTGGCCGCGAAAGGCGGCTGGACCTGGCGGCTTTCGTTCCCCCACCCATTAATCCACAGCAAAGCAGGACACTGAACAGAAGATGGCAAAGACAAAAGATGTAATTGCTTCTCAAACTTCAAGAGTTTCAAGTCGAAGAACGCAAAAGAGGTGGTCTCACCCCACCATATGTTGCTTGGTTCTTGGTTTGGAAATGACGTCGAGCTCCAGGATTCAACGCGAATTCGAGATCGCGTTCGTCGAAATCAAATGCTTCCATGCCATCATCCTCTTCTGCCATGATGACAACTGAATGAACGCAGGAGAGCTCCTCAAAAAGGTTTCTGTGCTATAATAGACATAGAAAAAGCAGAACTATCGATCCCCAACTCGTAAGAAAGAAAACATCAAATAATGGAAGAATGAACAGATCGCTCAAATCACTGTAAATTACTATAAATCCGTTTTTGAATGCCTATTGCAACTGACATTTCCGATCAAGAAAACGTGGCTAAATTCGACTTCTCAAAAAAAAAATGATGCGATTACCATTACAGTTATAACAGCAGACTGCCGAAGAAAAATGCTGAACCTCATCCAATCGAATTTTACAACCATTGTGCACCCGCACCCATCACCGTCGAATTGACGGTAGAAACTAGTGCCGCCGGGAACGAAATTTGGCAAACATCAACCCGATGCTGGATTGAGCTACTCCAGTTTTGCACCGAATCAAACAGTAATTATATTAGCTGCGGCAAAAACAGAACCGGGAGAAATCGCAGACCTCCTTTCACCGACGAAAGTGGATTTTCGGAATCCGTCGGTATGTCGTCACGATGTACGCACTCACAGAATGTGCACCGGTGGTGCACGTGACGGTGCACAAAAAAAGCCTCCCGAGGGTGTTCGCACATGATCTCAATTCATAGGCATGTCATGTCGCAGCATTTCAAAACCTCGTCTTTCTTGGGATTGTACAAATTTATCTTGCAAATTTCACTTTGTAAATTTCCTTGTCGTTCTGTTGTCGTCTTTTTACGGTTCTCGTTTCGGCTTTTTCATTCACTGTGCCAATTTTCAGTCACAAGTAGGTATCAAATGACATGCAAGCGGTGATCGCTCTTTGCCATTTTTGTGAGAATCACGGGCCAAGGGTGATGATGATCACCCAGCCAATGCGTAGTGTACAGTTGCCGTCCAGCTCAATTTCGGTTACGAATACTGCTTGTCAAGTGAGTTTAGTTGCTTATATGTTTGTTTTTTCCTTACAGAGTAACTGTTTTTTTTTGTAACCGAACCTTGGGAACCGTAGTTGTGATCCGTTCACATAGGCTTAACTTTGACTCGTACAGTAGTCATGCCCATAAGTTTTTTGAAATTAGGCTTGTCAATTTTGGTGGAACGTCATTTGCGAGAGTTTCTTTTAGGAACATTTCACTTAGTACGACGCACCTCATGGGGGGGGGGGGGGATAAGTTCATTCGTTGAGCATGTATTTGTTGAATGTATTGTAGTTGTGATTATGAACTTGGAGAGTAGTGTAGTCGACTTCCACGAATGTAGCGGTAGACCCAGTGCGTCGCTGATAAACCTGGTAGACCGATGATCTACTTCTATCCTATGATCGTCAAAAAGTCGCGTTGCATATTCTGGGAAGTCGACAACAGTCTGCTAGTTATCTATTCAAAGTGGGTTGCAACTAGAGACTTACACCGTTACCACATGACTAGGTTAATATTGGCAGTAGCAATTCCTGATTGTATTTATTAGTACCCCCGAGGCAGTGGCGTACCCAGGATTTCGGCGCGGGGGGGGGGGCGGGCGACAAAAATTTTTTTCCGATGAAGGTGCATGGCGTCAGCCACGCACTCCGAAAATTGTTTTGGTATGCTCCCTAAAAAAGGGGCCGTGGCATCAGCCACGCCCCCAAAAAAATTTTTTTATAAGGCTTAAATGGATATTTAACAAATTCAAAAAATTATTCTAATTATTTCCAAATGCAAACAAGTCATTTGCACAATTTTATAACCCATTTAAGTAACTTTCAAAAAATTCACCGCCCGTTCTCAGGGGGGAGCCCCCCTCCCCGCCCCCCCCCCCCACTCGGTACGCCACTGCCCCGAGGGTTAATTTGTGCACAGGAGGAATATGTCACTCAGAGCATTTTCCCTTTCAAATTTTATATCATTACTATATATTCCATGACAGGAGCGCCAGAAAATATCTCTGCTCTGTCTCAATGAGTCATTCTGTCGGGTTACCTCTCTCTCTTAAATTATTGATCGATTCCTTATTAGGTCAGTGCTCACTTATACTTTCTCTAAGTATTTTTTACGGATTAGCAGTGCTCATGGTTTGCCGCATGCGGAGGCTGGGAGAGGTTTTTCCTCGTTGCACGCAAAAACCTTCTATGAGGAACGAATTAGGCGATTTTTGTGTTACTTATATTTGTTTACTTTATAATCATCTCCCTTTTGTTGGGAATGGAGGGGGGGGGGGGGTGACTTCAATCAGCCACTACTCTCGACCATATGCATTCATTTTTTCTGTTATACTCAGGTCCCTGATCATCATGACAATGATCGACCTATTTATTATGGAGATTGCACACCTGAAATACTCGTGGATCCTGAAGAAAGGCTGGTTTTTAATCATTTCGGACTTTTTCCTTGCTTCTGTCATCGACAAATCTTTCAGATGTAATGCTTGCACATCGTTTGGTAATATAAATCAGCCATGTTTATTGTCGAATGATCACGAGAATAGAACGAGTTATATCAGCACGCAAGTCAGTTACGATGAAATTAATGAATACCCATTGGCTTTCATATCGCGCTTTCTAGATTCCTTTGAAAGAACGAGTATATGAACGCGTACGGAATGCTTGTCTCCGTTCCTTGAGCTGTGAGATATCTGCACCGCATAAAGGAACTTCATCACCATTGAAACTTGCTGGCACTCCTGGTGAGTTTTCATTTAGTCAAATAATTCCATTAGTTTTCCATACGATTTATTGACTACTAGCTTGGTCTTTTTTTAATCTGTCATTTTTATTCGAGTTTTCCATAATTCCAAAATGGTTCTTCACCGCTGCGAGAACAAATATGTTCAAATGATGATGAATTCGACTCACACTGTTTTGCCATTTTTTGTACCATTTTTTGATCCCCATGGCTACTTTTTTGTTTTTGCAGTATATCAGGCTTTCTTACCGTATTCAGAAATCATAGGTATCTGAATTTGTCTCATTCGCTGAACAAATTCATTGGCAGGGGGACGTTTGTATTTTCATATTTGATGGAATTTTCAAGACTTAGAGGAGCATTTTTTTCTCACAATGATGCTCAAAATCAAATATGGAGTTGTTACATGGTTTGAAGATATTAACAATTAATGCATGCAGACGTTTCGAAAAGTCTATCTCACATTTTATCACTTTTATCTATGGTTGCTTGTACACAATTGAGCACGTATGCACTACTCTCAAGTGACTAAGGCAGCAGTGCTTAGTTTGTACAGTTTCTCCCGTAAATTGAACTTCTCATGGGTGTATGTTCAATTTTTAGCATTACGGGTAAATAGTCTGCGGAGGGATGGTACAATGGATCCATTGGAGGACAGCGGAGATACTGATGTTGACGGGCCTGTTTTCTTCGGCGACTCTGATAATGGTTATTGCTTCTCGCTTACATTTAGGTGAGTGTGCTAGGTTTTTTGAACTCATTTCTTTCACTCTTCTCCGATTTCTTTTTCAGATTACGTGATTCTAAAGCGCGCGGTTTTCTTCGATTGTACTCTTTCATCGTGGTCAGCAACGACATGACGTACATAATTAATAATTATGAATTTTTTCTCCAAGCACTAACAGCAGTGAAAGAAAAATTACAGGTAAGATGGTTTTTCATCTATTAAATTTCATCGTTGTTTCTACTGTCTGATGTCATCTCTTTTCTGTCACTGTCTTCGTACATCTCTCTTTCAAGAGTATGGCAGCAGCAATATTTGAAAGCGAAATGGATCAAGAAGATGCGATGAGACCACAGTACGCAAGTATGGCCGGTCGCTTACCGACGGGTTGGTTTAGGCCCAGTGACAGAAATGTAAATTCTCATTAATCGTGGCTTTTGTTTGCAAACTGGTTGCAGTTAAAGCTTCTTTGTAGGGGAGACGGGTAGCAATTGACACTAAGCGAAATCTACAAACTATTACTGGTGATGACACTATCTGGAACCGATTGCACAGGTTCGTTCCTAGTTATCACTAGCTAGTTTAAGGCACATCACTGTATCTTGCTTTTTTTTACCGTTCATAACTTTCCTGCTTCTGTTCTTTCTCCTGCTTTCAAGTTCTTGGTTCTTCAATACATTATTGAATTTCACGTTTCATTCGAAGGTTTTTCACACATTTTTGAGACCCACTTCTAAAAGCCAATAAATTTCCATGCTACTATCTATGGGGTATCATCAATTTATCGTCTGATCGTACCAAAAATCCTCCACCAGCAGTGAGATGTTCAAAGAATTCTCATCAGAGTCAATGGTCTTGTAATTTTTTTAAGTCTCGCAAGTGTCCTCCTATAACATCAATGCCGTTTTGAGCATCTTATAATCCATTGAATTGATGTTCTGTCTTGCACCCGCTTGCTGATCTGCTGTTTTGGAATAGTATGCATGTTGTTCGTAAAGGTGTCGATATTTATAGACGAGGCTATTTGTATTGAAGTTTGTGCAGTTAATTCCACTTACAATTAGTAACATATCATATGACAGTTGCAGTTTGTTCATACTTTCGTCTCCTATAGGGATACCTTTCACTCTCTCAAAACGGAGGTTTGTTTCTCGACTTGGCAAAGTGTTACAAGCTAGATTACTGAGAAGTTCTTTGATCTTTTTCACGTTAGGGCGGCATTATTTTTTTTTGAATTTTTGCATACTTTTCTTCCATGGTTGGCAAATAAGCGAGAGACTAGTTTTCTCAAAATAAAATCCGTTTTATTAGGAGTACAGCGCTCACAAGCTTTATGCTTGTAGAAATTTAACCAAATCAACATCTTTCAAATGCATTGTCGTTGCCCTGCAGTCGGCATATGGTTGCGGTTGGTGTACAGTGCCGTAGCAGTTGTTGACTGAGACTCTTGACAGAGGCTGCTGCGTGGATTGACTCCCATCTGGCTAATATTAGATCTCACGTCATAGTGGATGCATTGGAGTGGCTTTGAGAATGTTTCGGACTCACGACGGTAGTTTGTCGTAGTCTGCAAATCTCCATGGATCCTCTCGCTTTCGTAACCCATTTATGGCGTGGGCTATTGCTTTTCTGATTGTCTTCACATCATTTGCTACTTTTCTTATTGGTTAAAAAACCAAGGTTTTAAAATGTAGATCATAAGATTTTCCTAGGTCCTTGCGAATAAGCGAGTTTTTGAAACTTCGAATTTGCTTGTCAACCTCAAGTTGGAGCAGTCGCCTGTGGTGACGAGTTTTTAGATATGCGCAAAAGTTTGTGAGAAGCGCTTCGCGGTTTTTTGCTGATACTTATGGTAATCATAATGCGCGAAAATTTTGTGTATTAGAATCGTTTAGGAAGCTATTTCGATGTTGTTCCCAGCTTGCACACTGTTCAAATTTTTTCGCATTCAAATTCACCTGTTGTCTATTTTATGAAGCTTTTTTGATTTGAATACGAGGTTATCTGCAACCCTTTCATATTTTCTAGAGCTTTTCCAGGCTTTTGCGGATAATTTGATCCAAGTTGTTGCAGAAGTATCAGACGTGGTATAAGTACTCATTTGGAAAGCTATCTAGTAGCCAAATAGCTGAGATACCAAAAATTTTGCAAAAGGCGAAGTTCATATCTCGATCATCTTTTATATCCTTGCGTACTCAATTCCTCTACCCCAAGAATTGTGTTTCAAAAATATTTGACAGAGAAATTATTAGAAGGGTGAAATCACCAATTAGTTAATGATGCCTTTTCTCGAGCATCTCGGTGATTTTCCTGCCCTATCAGAGGTCTTTCCATCCAGAATGCTATTTGCTTTTAAGATGAAAACCAGTCTCCGCATTTTTCTTTTGCAAATCTTTCATGAAGAATCTCAAGGTTATGCATATTGTTTTCTCACATCCTATCGTCTCCGTGTACCTTCGGTGAGATCATTAAGATCGCTTTGAATATCTGAATGTTTAGGCTTTCTAGTATCAATTTGATCGTTATTATTCATTCTGGTGCCTTTGTACGTCATTGATGACTTTGGGTCCGATGCTTTTGGTTCCCACTATGCAGCGTACCGCGGATAACTTGAATTATAAGTTTCACTGACGGTCTCAGAATTTTGTACTTAGCGTACTTTGATTAATCCTCAGTTTTTTAGCGAGTTTAAAGCTTTTAGAAAATTTAGTAAGTGACGCATTTTTAGCCCCCCTTCACCCCGCTTCCTCAATTCGCCATAGATAGGAAGTATTGTAGCCCTGCTATATTAGGTTGCCCCAAAAGTAAACTCCTTTCTGAAATAATTCAAGCTGTTTTTGTCTTCCCAGTAAACTTAGGGTATCATTCGATAGAGCGGATCAAGCCCTACGAAGCGACCACCAAAGGTCCGTTTAATTCGCATTCCATGTAAAGTTTGAAGCCAAAATTGAAAAAATTTGTTACCTGAGAATTGGATTTTCGCGAGGAAAAACCTCACGGACCTCCAACTTGGTCATTATTCAGTAGGCACACAGTAGGACTCATATATGCTTTTCCCGAATGTTTTCCGAGCTTAGAAAGCTAGAAACAAAAATTGTCCAAAAATAACAAACTCCGCCCCCAGCCCCTCTTACATATGTGTCATTGTATACTACAAGCCTTACTAAGTATAATTTAAAACCTTACCCCTGTATGTGCACTTATGTTCGAGAAATACCTAATTTTACATTAAAATCGAAAAATGGCATTTTGTTACTTGTGACCACCTTTGTTTCTCAATTTTGAGCCCCGGAAAATATCCACCAAATACATTTTTTTTTTACTACTATGTGTCTACTATATAAAGACCAAGTTGGAAGTCCGTAAGAATTCTCTGGAAGGAGATGTGATTTTTAGAGTAGCTGAAAAATGATGATTTTTGACTTCAAATTTTACCTGGATTACGACTTAGGAGGATCTTTGGTGGTTTTTTTGTAGAGCTTGCTCCGTTCTATCGAATGGTACCTCAAGCCTGTTAGGAGAACAAGAACAGCTCAATTTTTGAAAATGAAATCTACTTTTGGGACAACCTAATATTACACAATGGCTTCCTCTATAATTTCTGGGTTTGTGGACGGGATGACTAAACGGGGACTTTTTCGTTGTTTTCAACTATGTATTAATTCATTTTGTCGGAGGTCTGAGGGCCTGAGCATTGAGTTCAACCACTGCTTACATGATATCTCTCCCCTGAATGATACCAACGAATTTTTTTAATATTCATCATTCGCGGCACAAATCAACCAATCTTTTCATTTGTCGGCATTATTGGTACATCCTGTCATCTGTCGTCAGTGTCATGGAAATTTTTTTAGCATCTCAAGTGATAATGACATTGTACTTATTATCAGTGATGCTTTTACACGTCGTAGTTCCATTATTGCAAATTGACGCTTGAGTGCACTTTTATAAAGACATAATCAAACTCTTTTTGTCCATTCAGTACCTATGTTATTTCAGAATATTAGTGTCAACGTAAAAGTGAAATCTCTCCAAAAGATGTTCATTTTTGCGTCTGTTATCGGCACTTTTCCTGCATGGACTCACTTTCATTTCTTTTAGCGTTCACTGAACCAAAATATCTGCTTGAATTTCATGTGTGAATTTCCATGTCGTGCACGTCTCACACGCACGCCTACAAGTGAGCGTGTGAAGGCTTGCTCTCTCTTCTCATCAACTTGGAAGGAGAAGAAGCTTCGAATCCAGAGAGCGTTTATACTGCGAACGCTGTTGAATAACGTATTAAGCGGACGCAAAGCATGCGTGAAGCCCATAGTTGCTCATATGGTGGAGCTGTGTCAGCGCCGTGCCAGCGACCATGCGCGCGTTGCACCGATCGCGGTTTCACAAGGCGCGCTTGCATATCTTGTTTTCCCAAACGTTCCCGTAGGTACCATGTCAGCTCAGATCGTTCTGACACATTCACTTTGAAGAAATGCCTAATTTGCTGTTAGCATTTGAAAGAGCGAAAGGCCGCGAGTTAGGAACTTCTCTGGGGGACAGACGATAACTAGCATGGCAAGGAACAAAATCTCTCAAATTCTAATGTAGGTCAAAAATGAACATGACTTATAATAAACCGTTGCTCTGTCGGTCTGTAAGCTGGTCTGTCACGAAATTACAGTGGAGAATGATTTACATTGCTGCAATGCATGTCAGAGCTGCATAACAAGTAAAGTTCATTTTTGTGACCTTAGCGGTCCCTCGATTGAAGAATGGCCGATATCAAACATAGATTTACCTAAGCTCTCATGAAGACCGGTACGAACCTCTGCGAAGCACTGGTGAAGTAGTACTGCGGTTATGCTCCTAGAGTTGCGTTTGCGGCGTGTTTTTGTAGCTTAATCAGCAAAAATTATTCAAAATCCTGTTCTAGTTTGCTTTTGACATCTATTGATCGTCGTCAGCTGATGTTTTGTCAGAAAGTAATGGTTAAGACTGCGGTAGCAGTAGAGACCTATGACATGATGAAGGGCTTGATCCTAGAGAGTAAAACAAGCAAGATGCTTAAACTCAATTTATCCCATTTGATCATACTTGCAGTAGATAAAACGAATATGAAGGTTAATTTGTTTGTCTGCAACATCTGTTTGTGCCTGTCGTAGGTGCTAGCAAATCGCCGAAGTCTATTTTTTGCAGCTAGAAATCGAGAAAGTAGCTGACAGTTATATCTACGTATTTGAAATTATTGTGCATTGAGGAATATCAAGATTAGCTAGTAGAAACTGCTGCAAACCGCTAACACCCTTTCTCTTTCTACACTTGGTAAAATTGAGCCAGAGCTTGCTCACATGCACTATAGATGGACCACGACACTTATCTAACAAAGAAAGGATACTCGGTCACCGTAGCCATTTGGAATGCGATGTAAACTGTAAGATGCACCTCGAAACGCTGATTCCAAGTATGTGCTCGATATCTGCGAAACAATGTTCTCAAGGAAGTTAAGAACTTTTTTCGTAGAAAATTTGCGTACTTTTGTGTAGGTAAAATCACCACATTTGTTCTAAGTTACC